TCCAGGATTGACTGAAGACCGATCCACCGATATCTAACCAGAGCGAATCAAGCTAGAGCAATGGAACAAGTGCAAACTGACATCCAGGAACTCCGAGAGAGGATGGACCGCTTCATGGAGCTCATGCAAGTGGTCGCTACCGGCCAAGACCAGCTCCGAACTCTAGTTCAGCCACTGATCTCAAGGGTTGACAACAACGGTGTGCTTCATGGTAGGAGCGTTCCAGTCCCTCCACCTGTTGAAACTCCTCAGGGTAGCATCCCCGTGACCGGGGGGAATGGAAGTGGTAACGGCAATGTGATCACTAACATCGGGCCCAATGGTAATACGACTGGCGTCGGTAACGGAAACTTTGAGGCTAATGGCAATACTGGGCTAGGCAATGGCAACACGGGTGCTGGAAATCTTTATGGGCCTAATGGAACTCAGCCATGGTTAGAAGATCGCCAAGAAGATTTGTTCTCACAAAGGAGTGCTGAGGGAGAATTGAATGCCGAGGCACGTCTGAGGTTTAAAGCACTCGAGGACAAAATGAAGAGTTTCGAGAACCTGAACACTATGGGTGTCGACATGACTAAACTGGGATTGATTTCTGATTTCAAGGTGCCGCCTAAATTTAAGGTACCCGACTTTGAGAAATACAAGGGCACCACTTGCCCTCGTGTCCACTTAAGGTCATACTACCGAAAGATGTCCGCTCACTCTGAAGATGAGAAGCTGCTGATGCACTTCTTTCAGGATAGCTTGTCCGGTCCATCCCTGGAATGGTATATGGGTTTGGAACCCACCAGTGTGCGCACATGGAAAGAGCTTGCTGAGGCCTTTGTACACCATTATCAGTATAACAATGACTTGGCTCCGAACCGGGTTCAACTGCAAAACATGTCACAGAAAAACAATGAGGGGTTCAAAGAGTACGCCCAGCGATGACGCGAGTTAGCAGCTAGAGTTCAGCCGCCGATGGTTGAACGAGTGCTTGTTGAGATGTTTGTAACCACTCTCCCGGGGGTCTATTACGAGAAACTGGTCAGTGGTATGTCAGGAAGTTTCTCTGATCTCATCATTACTGGCGAGCACGTTGAAAATGGGATCAAGTTGGGGAAAATTCAGGGTGTTGATCTATCCTTAGCTGGAGGAGGAAAGAAACCATACAGTAACAAAAGGCGTGAAGGAGAAACGAGCACGATGTCTAACGCTCGGAGGAAAGGTAAGGGCCAGCTCCAGCAGGTGGCTAGCATAACCATCCCTGTTGTCCAACAACCCCAGCAGCAGCAGCCAAATCAGCAAGGGTACAGAAGGTATCAGAACAAAACACCTCTGGAAAATCATCACCTTGAGATACCACCCATGTCTTATGCTCAGCTGCTACAAACTTTGCTTCAGTTACAGCTAGTCCAGAAAAGAACCATGGCTCCCTTGACAGAGGCACATCCACAGGGTTATGATGCGAATGCAACATGTGATTTTCACTCAGGGGCACCTGGCCACACGATAGAAAATTGTAAGGCATTCAAGCACAAGGTGCAAGATATGGTGGATGCTAAAATCATCAATTTCTCAGATAATGTGCCGAATGTCACAAAGAACCCTATGCCGAACCATAGGGGAGGTGGGGTGAATGCCATTATTGAGGAAGAGAACTTAGATTTATTGACTGATATCAAGGATCTGAAGACGCCGCTTAGCTTCGTTAAAGCCAAGTTGATGAAGAGAGGCATCTTTCCGGGCTGTGGAGAATTATGTATGGGCTGTGCGATTCATTTCGACGGCTGTGAACAGTTGATAATGGGGATTCAGAGTCTGATGACCGAAGGAATATTGCAGTTTAGCCGAAGGGCCGAATATGGATCTGGAGAGGTAATGCTGGAACAGGATGATGGAGTTGCCACCATCACCATCCCTCGCAAGACAATAACCATTTCTGAGCCCAGGCCGCCCACAATTACCATCACAAAGGTTGGGCCGATACCTTTTGAAAGCACCAACGCTGTCCCATGGCACTATGGGGCAGATGTCTACTATAACAGACATAAATTAGAACTGGAGCCATCTGGGCAGTCTGTGGATAAACTAGTGGGAACTGGCGGAATCACACGTAGCGGAAGGGTATTTGCTCCACCTGAGATTATGGTTGACAAAGCTGACAGAGCTGAGAAAACTGATAAGGGAAAGAGTAAAGTCGTTGAGGAAACCCCTCGTGGGTTAGAGAAGGACTTACTTGTAAAGGACGCTGAAGAGTTCATGAGGTTGATAAAGAAGAGTGATTACAAGATCGTTGACCATCTTCATCAAACACCTTCGAAAATCTCCATTCTAAATTTGTTGCTGTGTTCTGAGGCACATCGCAACGCGCTGCTAAAGGTTTTGAATGCCACGTATGTACCGTAGGAGATCTCGGTCAACCAGTTGGAGGGGATAGTAGCCCACGTGAATGCTGGAAACGGGTTAGGGTTCACTGACCTGGAGCTGACACCGAAGGGAAGAAACCACAACAGCGTCCTGCACGTCTCGATATAGTATAGGGAAACAGTTATGTCCCATGTGTTGGTGGACACTGGGTCATCGCTCAATGTTCTCCCGAAGAAGGCATTGATGAAGCTAGATACGAGAGGATTGATCTGCACACCCAGTGATCTGGTTGTGAAGGCTTTCGATGGAACCAAGCGTCATGTCTTTGAAGAGGTAACTCTGCCAATCCAAGTTGGGGCGGAAACTTTTGACGCAGTCTTCTACATCATGGACATCATGCCAGCTTATAGATGTCTGTTAGGCCGGCCATGGATCCATTCTGCTGGTGCCGTGTGTAATACCCAAATTTTTACCCCTAAGATCCCACATTTCATTTGCATATCATTCCACAAACAAGATCTTACTTTGTGTTTCTTATTTACTTTATGTTTGTTTCTGTTTACTAACATCTAACCAAAAATACCAAAAATATTTTTTGTTTCTTCTTCTCTGTGTGTTTAGGGTTTTGCAGGGAGATTGATGGCAAAGACATTCATTCAAGTTTAAATCAGATGGACGTTTGACCTCATCTTGGTCAAACTATCAAGAGATGTCTTTCAGTGTAAATTGGTTGTGGCAGTGGGCTATTTTCTCAGGCAATGTGTTTGTTCAAGGTCAAGTTGTCCTGTATCACAATTCATCAAGCTTTCAAGCAGTGTTCTATGAGAAGTTTGGCCCAGTTTTAATCAAAGATTCAGAATTTTGTCTGTACAAGTCAGGTGGATGTTCAAACAAGATGTTTGTTTTAGAATACAAGTCCAAAGTGCTCATTCAAGTGTGCCATTTCCAAGTGATTTTAAAGGATGATTGAAGGTTGTCAAGAGTTTAACAAGACAAGATGATTGCCACAATTCAAAATCCAATTTTCAAATGTCAATCAAAATTGATGTTGTGCTGATACATATAATCTTAGACTTTTTGATGATTCAGAGAAATTCACAGTTGTTGACAGACTCACTAAGGACACTGGAACCAGCATCCATTTCTTTAGAGTCTACACAAAAGAGGCCAACGGCCGTGAATCCAACACTAGAACTTCCACTGCATATGGTGTTGCTTGTCATGATGAAAGAAATAAAGCTGCTATAATGAAGTCTGGAGCAATTTATGTTCTCACCGACAGGATCTCGAATTGTTGCTTACAATATTCTCAGATAAATACAAAGAAGATAGCATGCTAATTTTCCTGGTATTTTAAGACAAACATCGAGTAGTAACTCTGTATTGGAAATCCCGATCGATGCTAGTTATCCAGCTAAACGCCGCGATGCAGTAACAGAAGCCTGCTCCTATTTTTTTTATAAAAAACCTGTATACTTCAGCAACTCACAAGTGGAAACCAACAATTTATTTCCTTGAAATGGACGGAGCCCGCACTTGTGGAAGTACTCGTTCACTATTTGGATGCTATGGGCCTCTTTTTGAAGTATTTCCCAGATGCAGCTGGCAGTGTTATCAATAAACTATTTGAACTTCTAACATCCCTTCCTTTTGAAATTAAGGATACGTCAACATCAAGTGCTCGGCATGCAAGGTTGCAGATCTGTACATCATTTATTCGGATAGCAAAAGCTGCTGACAAAAGCATCTTGCCTCATATGAAGGGCATTGCTGATACCATTGCTTGTTTGCAAAGGGAAGGTCGGTTGCTTCAAGGAGAGTACAATCTTATAGGCGAAGCTTTTCTTGTTATGGCTTCTTCTGCTGGGATTCAATAGCAGCAAGAAGTTTTAAAGTGGCTACTAGAACCTTTGAGCCAGAAGTGGACACAACTGGAGTAGCAGGATAGATATTTATCTAGTCCACATGGTTTGGTTCAGTTGTGCTCAGAGGCACCAGTAATGTGGTCAATTTTTCACACAGTTACATTCTTTGAGAGGGCGCTTAAGAGGAGTGGAATGAAGAAAGCTCAAAGGAATTTAGAAAACAGCTCAACGTCAGACTCAACCCCTGTGGCGGAAGCAACCGTGGCTGATAAACAAGACTGTAACAATTGAGTGTAGTGAAACTCGATTTGTAGTCTCTGATGAGGCGAAATTGTGATGTTGTTTTTTTGTTATATCAGCTTGCAATTCTCTGATAGGAATTGCAGCCAGGAAGCTCTTGATGTACTCTTTGCATGCTTCCTTGCCTCGGCACACAACCTCGTTGTCTTCTTGCTCTGCAATAGAATCAACCTCGTTACCGTTGTTAACTTGTTGTTCTGACTTGTTATTGCGCTCAAATACTTGCGCAACAGTTTGCCGATCACCACCGGTGGTTTTATTGTCTGATGATGATTGAGCAACATTTTGTGTCTTGTGTATTACTGTGTTGCTGTCGAATTTAAGGATATATGCTTGATTGCATCCTTCGTAAAGCCTCTCTCCCAATGTGTCGATGATGGAGATGCTGACCTTGAGCTTGTTCCAAATTTGGTAGAAAAGGTTGCACTTCCTATTCTCCATTATGAAGTTTCCCATTGCTGGGACATGCTTAGTCAACACGAAACAATGAATGTTATTGCTGCTACAAAATTGATTGTGCAACATGTGTCCCATGAAAGTGAAGCTCTTGCAGAACTTCTGGTTTTGATTCGTACCCGTCTAGCTGACGCTGTTACTAGTCTTACGGTCCCTACATGGAGTCCACTAGTGCTAGCTGCTGTTCCAGACGCTGCACAAGTTGCAGCATATCGATTTGGTGTGTCTGTTCGATTATTGAGAAATATTTGCTTGTGGAAGGACATATTTGCAATGCCAGTGTTAGAGAAGCTTGCTCTAGATGAGCTTTTATACGCAAAAGTTCTACCTCATTGTAGAAGCATATCAGAAAATGTTCAAGATGCAATAACAAGAACAGAACGGATTATTGCTTCCCTATCTGGTGTTTGGGCTGGCCCAAGTGTCACTGCAGACAGAAACCGCAAATTGCAGCCTCTGGTGGCTTATGTACTGTCACTTGGAAGGATTCTGGAGAGAAGAAATATGCCAGAGAATGATCTAGCCCGTCGATTGAAAAAAATACTTGTGGACCTAGATGAATATGATCATGCCAGGAACATGGCCAGAACCTTCCATCTGAAGGAGGCGTTATGAGCTTGGAATTTCATTATACAGGGTTTCTTGGTATCTCAGAGAGTTTGGTCCAGGGTTAGCCTTGTCAAGGGAGTGCTTCAGATAGTCTTTTGACCTTATCAGGAGTATTCTTTAGGATTTTCATCTTGACCGTCAAATCTAGAGGATGCATCTTTCACTCTTCTAGTCAGCTAAGTTTGCAAACCTGCAGCTGCTGATGACGAAGATATGGATCCAACGCAATACCTGGAGAATAGGCTAAAGCATCTTGCAGCTAAAAAAGCAGAAGGGAGAAATCCATATCCACACAAATTTGCTGTCACTATGTCTATTGATCAATACATCAGAGAATATGAGGCAGTTGAGTAGGTATCAAATCCAATTTGTTGGTGAAATACGACAGGGAACAGATGATAATAAAGTGCAGGAGGTCTTGCTGTGGATACCCTTCATGCATGCTATGGAAACGAAATGAAGCAATTCATTGGCGGTATCACAGAATTGACCTCAGATGCTGTTCAGGTGTTAAGAGCAGCAAACCAGTTGGAGAAAGACCTTGTGCAGATAGCTGTTGAGGATTCAGTAGACAATGATGATGGCAACCTCGAAGCAAGATTTTCTGTTAAAAGAGTTCGTGAACATGATACAGGGACGTATATAAGGAGGCAGCTACAATTTACTTTCGAATTTGTGGTGAGGATATCCTACATTCTGCTGTGATGCTTGAACAAGCATCATACTGTTATTTGTTGTCTAAACCCTCCATGTCACGCAAATATGGATTTCATCTAGTTCTTCCTGTGGTATGTTGCTCTTGGTATGTATGATGTAGCTGTCAAGCATATGACGGAAATCTTGGCTTGCAGTCACCAGTCCAAGACGACACAAGAGTTATTCCTGAGTGACTTTCTTCAAGATGTGGAGAAAATTGGGCGGACATTTGAGGTTACAAAACTTCAACTGCCTGTGATCAACATCTCTTCTCTCAAAGTCATATTTGAAGATCACCGAGCTTTTGGATCTTCCTCAGCTGCTAACACTAAAGAAGGCTTGTGGCATTCTTTGGAAGAAGACATGATACCATCATTTACAGCTACCAAGACTAATTGGTTAGAGTTCCAATCGCAGCTTACTGCACTATATGCTTCCTAGAAAGAGACACTGCGAAGGAGTGGTTCTGCAAAGCTTGACTTCAGCGCTGACAAAAGACCAACTTGCTGATTTCCAAGTTGTTGTTTTTACTGATGTTAGTCTTGAGAAAGCCATTGATTTCAATAATTACTGTCACAGTCATCAACCTCCTATTGCTTTTATTAAAACTGAAGTTAGAGGCCTTTTTGGTTCTGTCTTCTGTGACTTTGGGCCTGAGTTTACTGTTTTTGATGTTGATGGAGAGGAACCCCATACTGACATAGTTGCATCTGTCACTAATGACAATCCTTCTCTAGTATCCTTTGTTGATGACGAGAGGCTCGAGTTTCAGGATGGAGATTTTGTTGTATTCTCTGAAGTTCATGGCATGAAGGAATTGAATGATGGAAACCAGGAAATTATCCAAGAACAAACTACAAGAGTTTTGCTAGAGCACCTTATTGATAAGTGGCAAAGGCCCATGCACTGCTGAGTTGAAATCCTTGCTACTACCGCAACTGCTGATAAAAGGGAGGAATGCCGTAAATTATTCGGCGATCACCGTTGAGGCTCTCATTGAGACCAAAAGATTCTAAGCAAAATTTTCCGGTGGATAAAGTTAATGTGGGAGTACAGGCTTTCGTCAATGATAAGGTTGGAGATGAAGATTCTGTTATGACATGTAATAGCTGCAAGAGAAATTCCAATATGTCACACAAGTTGCAAAGGAAGTAGATAAAACGACTTCAAAATTTCATCAAAATAAAAAGTCAAAATGTACCCAAGAGAAGCTTCATGTTGAGCCATATTTCCATCTGTGTTACACACCAAGCTGACCCCACAAGCTTTTAAAGCTGTTTCTAAGCCATGAGCCAATTGCAAAAAGTGAATAACACGTGAGCTACAAAGAAAAATCAAAACGACATAAAAAAAAAAGTCTCAGTATGAGTCACGCAACTTGCATCAATGAATTCAACCAAAACGCACAGAAAATTGCAAAACGGAAAATCACTCTCCCTCACTCTCAATCTATAAATACCACACATACCTCATTCATTTCTTCAAGCTTTTCAAGCCAGAAAACCCCTGCTAATTTTCTTCTTCAATTTCTCACTACGAAACCTTTTCGTTCACTTTTTCTTCTCCTATTTCCTTCCACCAAATTCACTCCAATAAAGACAAATTCATCCAGAAGAAGAAAAAGAAGAAGAATCGACGCGTTGCTCACCTTGAATTAAAGGTAATTTGGAGTTTTATATCGAGACTTTGCGGTTTCGATTCGGTTGATCCAAGCACCATTACACAAAATTGATAACACATTTGAGATGTATGCTGAATTCCGATCACAACCGTGCTGATTTCGCATCCCGCCGCTTCGATTTGAGTAAGCGTTGAAGCTCCCATGGCCGTGAGCAGTGCCGCGTCGGATGAAAGAAGAAGAAGATGATTTTCTTTTTTCTGATTTATATTTTCCTTTTTATTTTTTCTTCTTATTTTATTTTATTTTACCTTTTTATATTAATTCATCTTTGGATTTGGGGCCGTGTGGCCTTTTACCACTACCATCACCTTATTTTGTTTTTAAACCTCCCTTTTTCTTTATTTTTTTAAAAATTTTCTTTTTCTCTAATATTTTTTTTAAATAGTTTCTTAAAATAGATTTGGACCTTGAATTTTGATAAGATCTCATCAATATCAATGGACTTTGGGTGTCGATTTTATCCACCAAGAGAGGTGATTGATATTAATGATGATTTAATCGATTTAAGATTCAAATTGAGGTTTCTTTTCATTTTAGTTCTTATTCTTCTTCTTTTTATTTTTTGATCGATGAAATCTATGGATCATAGATTGTTGATTATCAAGGTTGTTTAATCTTCATTATTTCAAATCTATGGGCGAATAATCATTGAGATAATTCTCCGTACTTTGGAATAGTGATAGATTACCTTTGATTAATTGATTAAAAATCTTGATTATGATGAGATCATTACCTCTTTTCTTTTTGTGTGGCATGCTTTAGGAGAGTGATTTACATATCACTTCTCTAGCATGTATTAACACTAACATTTTATTGACCGGCCTCACATAGTCGTGGTTTCTACATAAACCCGATTACGATTGCTTAACATAGCGCTAAAGTGTCCCTTAATCGGAAAATGATCATTCGTGGCTCAAACATACGTTTAAAAGTCCAAGTATGATTAGTTGCTTGTCTTAACTCCAATACCTATGAAAATCATTGTTAGGAGGCTTTGATTCTATCAATCCTCTAATGAATTTTCATTAATCTTGGTCTAAGTGCAAGAATTAATCATCATTGATCATATGTTCTAACCACTAACTACTAATTCACTAACAATATCCTTGTTTAATTTTGTTTATATTCTTTTCTTACTCTTTATTTTTTACTTTTATGCTTCCATTTTATCATTTCATACCATATCTTTGTTTATGTTTATGTCATTTTTTCTTTTGTCCACTTGGACCATACTTTGTTCAAAACACTAATAAAGGATAAAACATCTAAAAAATTTGGTGCTATTAATTTTGTGGTTATACTCTTGGACCAGTCTTAGACCTTGGACTTCATGGACATTTTGGACTTAGGATTAGGACTTTCTTCCCTATGCTTGGAGAATTTTGAATCTTAGCCTTTATTTGGCTCGATCACTGGCTTATACTTTAAATCGGATGGAATTCTTTTTGCTTGCTTTGGAGTGTGCCACAAGTCGGTTAGATCTTTCTTATCTCTAGCTCTTATTTTTTTTTTTTTTTAGGATAGTCACTTCATCTCCTCCCCTTCTTAAATTTTCAAAACTTTCTCCCTTTTTCAAAACCTTCTTGGTTTCAAACTTCAAAACCGCTTTCGCAATAAAACCTTGACTTTCGTCAAGTGATTTTTAAACTTTGTTTTTCTTAATAAAAGTCAATCAATGTTAATCATGCTTTGACCAATTTCAAAAGACATAAAAAATACAAAAACTCATCAACTCTTTTTGTGCCTTTATGCACTTTTTCACTTTAAAACTTTTCATAAAGTTTAGACATGATTCATTTCTATAGTCGAGATGTAAATCTCCTATTCCCCATATTATTAAGACTTTGACATTTTCCACGTTGATGTTGAGTGATAGTCTTGTTGATAATCCAAGCAAATCCTCCATCTTTATGTGACGCAAATGTTGTCTTAATACTCGTGGGTGGATAGTCGCAGTTTTCTCCTTGAAATGACGACTTGTTTGAACATCTAAAATCAATCAAAACCAACAAAATTTTGTCATTTGTACCACGAACTACGGGGTTTTGATTCCATATTGCACTTTATGGGTACGTAGGCATGAGACGATAAGTCTCTCCAAACACAAAAAGCTAAAAAAAATAATTCTCTTCTCATCTCCCCAATCTCTTTTCAAACAAACCACTTTCAAACCAAAAAGCGAAAATATTTCAAAGGGCTCCTATAGAGTACTATAGACGTTTTGGGTGCTAACACCTTCCCATTGCGTAACCAACCCCCTTACCCTGATCTCTGTCTCGTGTTCTTATTTTAGAACTCTTTGGTTTTGTTCGCTCTTTTTCCTTTCCTTTATTTGGATAAAATAAAAGTGCGGTGGCGACTCTTGTTTTCTTTGAGTTAAGTTAGTCAATAACTTACACTCACGATTTTTACCGCTACAGAAAAGTGGCGACTCTGCTGGGGACTCCAACGGTTCCTAGTGGGTTTCGCCTACTTTGATTTATTTATCGCTTTCTGTTTGACTTGTTTGTTATTGATTGTTCTGTTTTGGTGCCTGGTAATTTGTGTGGTGAGATAAGTCCTAACCCGGACTTGAGTGCACTTATGATAGGAGGGTGGTATAGTCTTGTTGGCTTACGTGGAGTAGTCC